TCCCAGAGTGTCGAGGCCATAAAGATATGGGAGAAAGTGACCCCGATCTGCATTCTAGGGAACAATAAAATTCAGACGATCAGAGGGGGTGCCCCGAGCTCTGACTAGTAACCAATAGGTCATCAGGAAGATAAGTTTCCCCCAATAATGAGGAGGATCCAAAACTTATGCCAATTTCAGCCAATCATTTGTTAATGGCTGTATCTCTTTGTAAGAAACATGTATACAATCTTCTTCTTTGGGTGTGACTGGGGTTCTTCTCTGTCTTAAGGGGAGACCCCAGCTGACTCCATTGGCAAGCTTTCAGTAAAACTTTAAAATCTCAGCTGGTACTTTCGTGTCGGATCTTCCGCCAGACTGAATCCTAATTGGGGAGAGTCAGAAACTCTCAAATTTTGCTAACAGCATGGCTGGTTGACACAGCACCCTTAATTCTAAATCCAGGTTAAAAGCCACACTTGCTGTATTCATGTGACATGCTGCGTCCAGCATCGCATTTGATTAAAGGGGGCTAGATAGCCCAAGCCACTGGAATTACAGCTGGGTTTACTACGCTGAATCATAAAATACCTGACTTAATTAGAGCTTAGTTTAACACAGGGTTTTCAATCTCAGCCACTTTAAAAGGGATGGACTTCAACTCCCAGAATTCATGGCTGGCTGGGGGATTCTGGGAGTTGAAGTCCATCCATCTTAAAGCGGCTGGGATTGAGGAACCCTGGTTTAACATGTTGTAGGAACCCACCTGGAGTTTCGAAAAGAAAAGAGAACTGCTTCCCGGGGGAAGGGTTGTGCAAATGATGCCGTTTGGGACTTGAAACACCCTGTTTTGGACAGGAGGCAGCTGTTTCAAGAGGGAACGGGCAAATTCACACCGAAAACTTTCAAAGTGCTTCGAACTGCCCATCTTGAACTGGGGAGTTTTGAAGTTGAAACTGTTCAGATTGAAAGGGTTTTGCACGTGCCTCTGTGGAAGCCTTCAGGGCAGAAGAGGCTCAGAGGTAAAATAAGTGGGCTGGGTTGTTTCTGGAGGCTGTTTTAAGGCAGGAATGGGGAATTTAGTGACCAAGTGAACCCAGGATGGTGGCTAGCTAAGGAGGGAACCAGGTCAAGGGGAGGTCCTTGAAAGCAAAGGGAACGTGGTGGGACTGTGTGGGATCCCAGATTGGACTGGAAGCAGTGAATTCGGGTTGTTCGATGCAACCTTTGTGGGCCCTGTGCACTGACCTAGATGAGTGCCGAAGCCATAAATAAGCCAGTCTTTTGTTCAAGTACACAATAGGGGTGCTTAAGGACAGGCATTTCATTGGGAGCGAGCTAGAGTCTTCATTAGGTCTTAACCAACTTTTTTCTCTGTCTCTTTCTCTCCTGTTTACAGCAAGGAGAACTTCGATCGGGTGCCCGACTTAGAATTCAACCCAATTCGGTCCAAAATCGTCCAGGCCTTTTTTGACAAGAGGTAAGGGAAGTTCTGTCTTCGTCCGTCGACAGGGATCTTACCAACCACAGAAAGGGGCCTCTGAAAATATGCGGGATGAGTTGGGCTTGTGAATATGTCGATGGTCAGGAATGATGGATCCAGACAAAGATGGGGTAAAGACCCAGCGTTCCTACGGACCCAACCGTCTTCCCCCAGGGGCCGATTTTTCGGTTGACGGGGTATTGAAGATCTGTTTGTTATCCTGCTGCTTGTTGGAGAGGCCCTCCCACTTGTTTCTAAATATTTATTTTAAGTCTGTCTACATATAACAAGGAACAAACTTGTATAAGAAAAAGATCACGGGACCCTGGATTTAGGTTTCAGGAACTTCGGAAATGAGCTGTTCCCCATAGCTAAGGAATGATTAATACAAAGATACAATATGAAATATCTAATCCGGCTCTTAAATATTGACCAAAAGGCAGATAAATAGCCATATGGTATGATGTAATGTTTGCAGTGCCAGCTAGAGAAATTCTCATGCTTCTCCCTCCCAGCCCTTCCCTTCCGTCCCTTTCCCCTTTCCAAATTGCAGTGTGTCAGTTATTGCTCAGGGTAGGGGGCTGACTTTGAGAAGCACGGGGGCATTTCTCCTTCCCCTGAAGAAGTTAGGAAAAACGAAACAGCCTGCACATTGAGAAGATAATTTCTCAAGGTCATCTGAGCCCAGCTCTGGTCTGCGAGGCGAGGGTGGTCGCCAACAGGCCGTCACAAATGGGAAACCCCACCACACCACCTGTGACTTACAAGATCGCTGCCCCCGTAGCCTGTTTAGTGCAGTGAAGGTTTTGAAGATGTAGTGATTGGAGTGTAAGACTAAGACTGGGGAAATCTAGGCTTGAACCCACAGCTGTGAAGCTCACCAGTGGAGGAGTGGTTGCTTTTCATCAGCTTTGCCTACCTTGTAGGGGTATTCTAAAGACAAGAATATGTACCATAGCTTGGGTTCCCAGAGAAATGACAAGGTCCAGTACAGGCAGTCCTTGTTTAGTTACCACAATTGGGACCAGCAACTTGGTCATTAAGTGGAATTGCAATGGTGCTTATGATCTTCCTTCAACTTTCCTTTACTTTACAGACCTGCAAAGGTCGTAAATGTGAGGACTGGTCACAAAGTTACTTTTTCATCACTGTCATAACTGCGAATGGTCACCAAACGAGGTGGTCGCTAAACAAGGACTACCTATAACACCCTGTGGCTGTAACACCCTGTGGCATTTCTCCACTGTTATTTTTATTTTTCCTCCACTGCTTTCACATTTCTAAGCCACCCTGTGATTGGATTCGCATAGCACCCTTAATCTGGTTACTGAATTAATCCATTGCCTGCATTTGCACAACACAATGAGTCATAAACTAAGCACGCGGGAGGGGGGGGCCTTGCCTGATGTGTGAAGAAAGAAAAAAAACTAGCTAAGATTAAAACAAACCAAGCTTAACATATGATATGAATGCGATTGCTTGTCCTTTAACTGACCTCATCCCAAGGGTCCTGGGAACCCAGAAAGGCCGAACCGAAGTAATAAAATGATAGTGAATGCCAGTTGTACCTATCTATAGGTTTGGGTTATCAACTGCCCAGAGGGTGTTTCTCAAATGGCGAGACCATCACTTCTGTAAATAAAGTGCGGGTGGGACATTGTGTAGTTCCAATAAGCCACCTTTTTCCTATTTCTAGTTAAGTCGAGGTCTCTACAAGCTCGCTGGGTGTTGGGGGTAAGGGATTGTGGCCAGCAAACAGGACAATAACTTCTTCTGTGCCTGCAGGAATCTGCAGGGAGCCTCTGAGGGGTTTGTTGACGAAATCAACTTTGAGGATTTTCTGACCATCATGTCCAATTTCCGGCCCATTGAGTTGAACATGGACGAAGAGCAGCTGGCACGTTTCAGGAAGCAGAAGCTGAAATGTAGGGTCCCCTTTTCAACCCAGCTTTTTTTTTTCATGGGGGAGGACCAATTTAGGCAATATTTTCACTGGGTTTAAGGCAGCCACTGTAAAGAAGGGAATTAACAGCGTATTGTTTTCTCTTCCTTCACATGGTTGAGTTCCCGTATTAGTGATCACACATAATGGCTAGATTCACACAACACACCTAACATAAGCCATGGTGGGCAGTTACGGTTAATGCGAACCTGACCCAGATTTAGCACCATCTTTGAACCCAGTCTATTTATGCCATCTTCTCCCAATTAGAAAAAGAAAACGTGTTTTATTTTTCAGTCCCTTAATATGGAACTGTGTTTTGCTGGGGTTCGTGAGTGATTGAGTGATTTATAACCCGTTTGTTAATTCCGAAGCATCTTGAGGCAGCTAACAGTTTTTAAAATGGCAATCAATCAGTGGAACTTCAACAGATAAAATAATCATATTAGGGCTGTAATACCATCCATCTGTTGTAATTTATGTCCAAACAGGGACACTTTTTTGAAGCAAGTGCCCCAGACGTTGCTCTTGGTGTGTCACTCGACTGGGCCAAAAGCCGATCCAATCCAGAAGGCTATGGGTGACGATCCTCTTCCCCCATTTTTTCTCCCCATAGCCAGCCCTGAGGGGGACGCCACCACTGAATTTGGAGGGGGAGAGCTATGTTCATCCGTGGTATCCAAAAATCAGGAGGAGCTCGGTAGCATCTTTTCAAGCGAACAGATTTTTATTAAAAGGCATTAGTTCTCACAAGCTGCAGCTTTCAGTACGCCTTTTAATAAAATGTGTTCGTCTGAAAAGACGGTACCAGATGTTTGCTGCTGAATCTGGAAATTCAGTTGCGGCCAACGGCAGCTGATCATGAATATTTCTGTCTAGAAACGTGTACTTGCTAACCTCACCCCGCTTCGGAGCTGTAGACGTTGCAGAATTGTGTCATCCGTCTTGTCCTAGGGCACTGACGTCGTGTGAAGATCAGAAGCGACAAGAGACTAAAATTTGACTCTTGCTCCCGTCTGGGCCATAGCAGCCTCCCCTGATTGAGGTTCTCGAGTAAACGCAGATCTGTAAATGGCTCTGCTAAAGGGCAGAAGGTGTTTCTTCCGCAGAAATGCAACTTTGCTTGGCGTGCGTGTGGAGGGAAGGAAGGGAGGAAGGAGAGAAAAACAAAATCTTTGCTTGCAGGATAGAGTAGGATCTTCAGCTTTTGTGGTTTTGAGAGCTGGAGAAGCTGAACTAGTGTGTTTATTTATTTATTTATTTTATCGTATTTATATAGCCGCCCCTCTCGCATAAGAGTGACTCCGGGTGGCGCACAACAATTGAAAAGAATAAATACCTAAAAACCAATTACAAGTAAAAATAACTATACAAGCACACAAAAAAGGAGGGGATAATATTAATAAGGGGGCCATCGCAAAATCTCCCCGGTCCCCTGGGGCCCCCCAGGCCTGATCGCATAGCCAGGTCTTGAGGGACTTGCGGAATATCTCCTGTGCCTGTTAAGAGGGTTTGTAGGCATAAGGAAGAGCGGAGTCAAATTCTGGGAAGAGAGATTCTGCTTGAAGCTTAGGGGAAAAAACATCCTCGAAGTTCCTGGACTCTCCTTCGCTGCAAGTGTTCATTAGACATTTCTGTCTGGAATGCTTTAATTTAGGTTCTTGCACCGAACAAGGAGTTGGATTTGAGGGCCGAAATGCCTCCGTCCAATTCTGAGACCCTTTGCATCCCGCCTACAGCCTCCTCCTCAGAACTGACCTGCAACTGCAGACCTCATGGTGTAAAACTATCGGCCTAACCTTTTGAACTTCTTCCCTATCCCATTTTTTGGGGAGGGGAACATCCTGCCAGGGTGTAATTGTGATGTTATGGTGTTATGAAGGCCACACTCAGGGAGATAAGTGTTTTCTTAGCCCCCAGCAGGAGAGTGGGAAGTTTAAGAAGATGAGGCTGGCACCACCCTAAGGAATTCACGGGGTTGTGGCTGGCGGGGGGGGTGGGGGG